ATTTTAGTTTTTTTTTGTGTTTCGTGCCAATCTGATGCAATTCCAGCTGATTTTTAGTTAATTTTATGTTGACTGTTACACCACTGTCACAGGTGTGCGCAAGTTTCAGCGCTCACAAATCGTTGGTTGTTGACTGGGATATTTGTTGTTCGTCGATTGTTTTGTCAAAAATCAGACCGTCGGTTTTTCTACCTTTCCATTTCGTTGAACTATGCGGCGCGAGATTTTCTCGCTGCGTTGAAGACCCATTGGTAGCCGGATGCTGTTTCAGCTCTTTGTTCGGGTTGTTGTCTCTTTGACACATTCCCCGTTTCAATTCTCTATTCTGTTTGAATCATTTCACGTTTTGTCATGTCGGGGCATTTATAGTTGACTATACAGTATGGGTATGCTTAATGTTGAAGGCCGTATGTTGACATATAGTTGCTTACATCAACGTCATTTTGATTCTTGTGGCTAGTTGTCTCATTATCAATCAGATTACATATCCTCATTTTTTTCCATTTACAATGTGAAACAACCGTGTCCCGAATTGACTTTGCTAACAAGTAATGTAGTTAATGATAACAAAATTAGTGAACACTTTTTGTGTTTTTGAAAAATTTTATGCTATATATTATTTCTCATCTTATTTGTGACTCGTTAACAAGAATTTGTATTATTTCTCCATTTTGTGCATTTATTCTCATGTAATAGCCGTTAACGAAAAAAGTTTTATAACAAATTTTACTTTTTTTTTTAACAAAATTCAATCATCTCCCTTACAATGCACAAAGAACCTCCTTGCAATGTTAACTCCTTCAAAGATTTATATTCAATATATAACATGTAAAAAGTCAAGCTCTGGCAATACCTTAAGATAAAGACAACATTTACTATACGATTTATTAAAATTATATTAATACCGATTTTTGTAATACTTACCAAACGTCAACGAAAAAGTTGAGAGTATGTATGTAAACACGTCTATGTACATCCTTCTAGTCTGAATACAGCCAAGAAATTATCTCTTTACATAGAAAAATAATTATCCAAAAATCAAAACGATGTTAAAAATGAAGTTAGTTCTTGTATCGAAATCACGAGAGAAAGTGATTAGTAGTCCAGCGCAAATAATTATTATTCTATGTTTCTAAATTTTACATTTTGCATTTGATTAATATACTTGATACTGAACTAACGACTGTTTGCTACATTGCACTTTTAATTACAGGTAAACTATTGTGAATTTTATATCAAGTTCGTTAATCATGCAGTGAAATTTGTATATTCTTTATTTAATAATATAAGTACAGAATATGTCCATGGGATGCAGATGCCCAGCCATGTTAGCATGAGTAGTATCAGTTATTTCCAAAAAAATAGGACTTGATTTTGTCTGTGTTTAAAAAAAAAAAAAAAATCTTTAACCTGGGCTTTGGCAAGAATGCATAAAATATGCGCAGCACCCATTTTTTTAAGCTACGATGCAAGAATCCATCAGTAGAGATATTTTTGACATTATCCACGGACACAGCTCAAGAACGAAATATATAAAATTAGACAAATTATAATTCAAAACGACATCGATACTAAATGGTTTATGGCGTTAGCAATATTGAAAAGTTATTTTTTATGTTATATACATTGCATATTATATTGTTATATGTTTTTTGTGTATTATTTTGTTCTTGTTTATGCTTACAAATGTATATCCTTATGTATGTTTAGATATTTTTTTTAACCTTGTATGCATTTTTACAAAAGAAATCCAGCCTTTCCAAGTGTATTAAATGCTGTATTTAAGACATGTATAAACTGTTGCCAAAAATCAAATTTCTGTGTATTTTAATGTTGTTTGTTTTCGCTTTTTTTTTGTTATTCAACCTTATGAAGACATTAACTATTTTGATACAGACGAATGCTTAAGAATCATAATTCACTATTGAACATGTAAATCGTAAATAGATATAAATAAACAAATGAGTTTATTCTATAACTTTTCTCTAACATTGCATAAAAAGGGTCTTATAGAGTTAAGTACTGGTGTTTTATTGTAGTGTTCTTTTGTAACTATTGTTAACAAATTGTTCGAGATTAAAAGATGAAGACTTGAGACCTAAAACACCAGTTTAGCCAACCACATGTTCATGCAACTGTTGTGCTTAGTTAAATTCTGATATCTTTTGTTATAAAGGGAATATTTTGTGAGTGGCATCTCTTTGATAGTCTCAGTTTTCTCTAGACTGTGATCGATTTAGAGTTGACATATTGTGTAGACATTTGATAGTCTCAGTTTTCTCTAGACTGTGATGGATTTAGAGTTAACATATTGTGTAGACATTTGATAGTCTCAGTTTTCTCTAGACTGTGATCGATTTAGAGTTGACATATTGTGTAGAAATTTGTTTATTTTTACTGATGGTATGCTGATCTCTAGCTCTATATGTTAAGAGGTAACTCTAGGTCAATTGAAAATCATTTATCAATTTTGTGTACTTTTTTTTATATTTATTAAGGAAGCAAGTCAAAATACTTAAAATAAATTTTGCTGCACCTTATTTTTTCAGTAGCACATTTTTTTCTGATTGGAAATATGTTACAATTTTTGTTGTTTTTCTTCAACTTAATGTGAAAATGGTGTTTATGTGCATGTTGTCTTCCTAAATTAAAGATTAAAACTTTGGAGAAGGTCGGGCAAAATAACGACTTTAAAGTAGTTGCATTGCATGAAGAAAACCAAAAAATTACAGATATATGCAGAATCTTAATAGTTTTGATTATGTGGAGAATAAAAGGGTTTAATTGCAGATCTTCGATTGCTTTCCTTAAATCTATACACAACTTGCATAGTTTCTTGACGATTACGAGTTTGACATATTGTTTAGAAACATGTTTATTGTTGAAGACTGCATGTTGCCCTCTGTATGTTATGGTTACTTTTGTCTTTGGGTTGCGATCTCATTGATGAATACCCCACATCTCATTGTGTTCATAAGCATTAAACTTTTGCATATTATACATCAAGTTAAAGTTTTTATTTTGATTGATTGATTGTTGGTTGCTTAACGAGTTTTTATTTTGTAATAATTCTACAAGATCAATGCTACTGTTGGCGGACAGCTTTTTCAAAAGACTTTTAAAAGACCAATAGACAGTGATTTCGTATTGGCATAATGATAAAATGGCAAAAACTGATTTAGGCATACAGTTATCCTCTTTACATGCACATGCAGATATTCGTCAGTTGACCTAGGACGGTTCAGGTGCTTACAATGATTATGCAATTTATGAAACTCAAACTTTTGGTCTGAAATACATGAAATTTTTTTTTCCAGAAACAACGACCAGTATGTCAGTATCGTTTATATATTGGTATATATATATATACAAGTCTAAATTGAAAACAACGTTCAAACCTATGATTGTGTTTGATAAAAACCGCAATTTTTATACGTGTGAATGCAAAACAAATTTCTTGGTAGAGGGGTCTATATACAGCACAAACAACACTTTCCAAAAGACCAAAAAAGTGAAAAAGTATATTTTAACAAAACGCATTTGACTAGCAGGTCGAACAACGGATGTTCCTAAACCCTGCTGACTGATTGACAAATAAACGGATCACCAGATTTAACAAAATGGATCTTAATAATTAATTTAATATATAACAGAAAACAATAAACTTGCGGAAAAGATGGTATACCGCAAACATGAGGTGCAAAAATTTGTACACCATATCCGGATTTCGACAATTAATGTCTCTTCAGTGATGTTAAGAATCGAAACGGTATTATATATATATTCTACCCCAGGAATAGATTGCCTTAGCTGTATTTGGTAAAACCTTTTGGAATTTTGGGACCTTAATGCTCTTCAACTTTTTTTGGACTTTTTAATTTACTTGAATCGTGCATCACTGATGAGTCTTTTGTAGACGAAACGCACGTCTGGCGTACAAAATTTAATCCTGGTATCTTTGATGAGTTTGTTATACTATTATATCAGTTCTGAAAAATGCAATCAACTTTGAACACATGTTTCCGTGTTGGCATGTGTAAAATTTTAAGTTTGACTATAAATGTTCCTTCCAAAACACAGAGTAAAAGTATTATAGGAATGTTTTTAATATTCTAAGACTTAAATTTATTCCAGAAACATGTATTATGCACATTGAAATCTGTACCAAAATTTAATGTTTCATTTCAACTGGAAAAATATGATAAACTGAGAAGTTCATTGAATTAAAGTTTAAGAAAAAGTTAACATCACACTTTGATTGATGTAATGTCCTTTAAATATTTGTGAAAATTAAACAAACTTTTCCCGTATTTTGTTTTAAAATAGGAAATAAAATTGTTTGACATGATAGACTGATTATCAAACTTGAAACGGTTCTCATACTAATACCCCATCTATTTGAAAGTTTTTTTATTGTTTCAGAAATTTTATTTTTCATTAACCTATTGTGTTTATGGCAATTTGTCATTTTGATAAAAGCTGTGATCTTTAGAGAAGGTCGATGTATCTACATAGTTGATAAAAACAAACAAAACCGGACAGACGTACTTACGTGTAGGTATGACAAATTAATTTCCTAACTTTAATATTTGTAGTAAATTTCATGTTTACTAATCTTTGTTTTACATAAAACGTTATTTGTAAAAATTCAATCTTTCAAACAATCATACACTATATTTGAAATACCCGTTGCAGTAAAATTGTCTTCATACAAGAACCAAATGAAGAGTATATGTTGACGTCAGCAGAGTTTTAAAGTGGAATACTTTTTCATTCAAGGTTCTTACTGCTATACGATGGAAAACGTTGTTTTTTAAACATAGTTTTATTTAGATTTGTCGCTATTATTATATCGAGGACTACGATTTTGTCAGAAATTACACTGATTCTGTATGTAACGTGATTTCTATATATCAATAACAATGTTTGAATTCTTACTGAATTGTATATAGAAAAATATGTTCATTGCTAACTGTGTAGAGCAAAAATGAACAACGACATTTTCAAACTCAAAATTTTATTCAAAGTGGATAATCAGTGAAGAAACTTCAAAACACTAACTTTAAAAACATACACACAAATTAACATCCTCTACCCCAAAATTCGAGTAAAATGCTGTTGAAGGAATTCTTGATTTTGTGGATTTTCATGTGGTTTTAATAGGAATTAGCATTACAATTTGTGCAGTTAAATTATACCTTGAATCGGTTTAAACACATCGAAATTTTTTTTATTTATAAACTTGATAACAAGAACATTCATATTTCAAACGATTCTAATAACAGAAAAAAAAAGAATATAAAAGATGTCGGTATGATTTAATCATAATATATATACATGTGTTTACACATAAAAATTTGCCTATATTTTTTGTAACAGACATTAATTTCATGACTAGTACTTATTAATAAACAATTTCAATTACTCTCAAATATAATGTAGAATTAGGAGATAACTGTATTGTATTGTAAGCTCCGACGGCATCAAATCACCAATTGATGCCATCGAAGCTTAAAATACAATATTGTAATGAAACTGACAGAAAACAACGTCAATTATTACATTCAAAATCTGTGATAATGTTGCATTAGAATTCTATTTGAATAAAAGATAAGGGAGTTTACTTTAATGAAAAAACAACACAAAAAAAAAAAAAAAATTCCTCTAATTCGCTTTAAACTATTCCGTTAGGGTCAAATCTTGACTACCACGTGTGCCAATTTTCTTAACTGTATCACGGTGTCTTTGGAGCGATGTGATATCAACAAGAATAATGCCACCAACGATCAAACTTAAAAAAACAATCCCTAACATTCCCAATTTCTGCGAGGATGGTCTGGAATCTTTTGCGCTTATCCTTTTATTGACTGTAGATGATAAGTTACTTGTATCAACTTTAAGTTCCTTTTCGAGTTTCTGAAGAACTGGTGCTAAAATCTCTCGCAATTCCTCCATTGTATGGTTGGTTTGGTTCTGAGCTGCCCAAAAATTTAGTTTATCCTTATACTCACAATTACATGGGCACATCGGTTCAACATCTGCAAATTAAGGAAAAAAATATTTTCGATTATAATTATAATTAACTCTAACAATAAAGGCCTGAATAATGCATAATTATTTTGAAGACTTTGTCTATATAAAAATAAATAAAATTCGAATTATAGGTAGACTAGTATTATAGCACCACTCTAAACACATATACAATCATTACAATACTTCACCAGTAAATGTTGCAGCAACGTAATTTCCATAGGGTTGAGTACACGAATGTGAATCTACCACTATTTTTTAAAGCCCATAATACGGAATTTCATGGATTGAACATGACGTAACATCTCCATTATGACCGGACGTGGCTTGACATTTATATATATAACAGGAGAAGTCCAGGTGACCAGGTGACCATTTATTGTACTTTTTGATATTTTACTTTGTACATTTGTGCATTTCTGCACCCAATGCCTTTAGGTGTGCTTCATAGTTAAAAACCAACATTACCTTTATTTTGAATTAAGTTTCACATTCCTAACAATATCTTATCTATTTTTAATTCAAAATTCATGCAAGCATTACATAATAAAACAGTTAAATTATGAGTTTTACATTAGCATCACAGCACTTTACAGAACTTTCATTGTTATTTCGTCAAAACCAATTCTTGCTGATTTGTTTATATGAAGACATTCATTTTATTTGAATTAGTTTAGACATTATAAGCGCATAATTCTAACGTTATCAGAATTGCCCAACCTTGATTTGATTTCGTTCATGCATCCAACACTTTGACTGCGGATCAATGAAAGATGAAAAACATTGATAATACCATTGCTGATTACATGTTCAACTAAGTAAATATAGGCCTTTACGAGAAAATAACAATAGTGTTAGACATGCCGCAATTGGACTATGACGTTATTACTTGCATTGAAGTCACACTGGCTTGCAACTCAATTTTAGCATAAACAAGATATCTCCAGGAATGTTTCGGTTGAATTAATGTAGAGCACACGCATTTATGTCATTTAAAAAAATAATTTTTTATTAGAAATTAGCGTTCACACTTTTTAAAAATAACCGAATAGAACATTTTTGAATCTCTAAAGTGTTTAGCAACGCCATATGAGGTGACACACGTAGATCAAAAACAGACAAATAAAAGAAATAGTTGGATAAAAAAATGTCCTTTACACGGCAAAGTCCGTAGTCCTGACCTAATAACATTAATAACCAGTGTCTGTCTTACGTACGACCATATGGTTGTCCTATCTTGGTGACATTTATAACCAGTGTCTGGATTATGTTTGACCAGCTGCTGACATTATAACCAGTTTCTGGATTATGTTTGACCAGCTGCTGACATTATAAGTTTAACCAGTGTCTGGAATATGTTTTACCAGCTGCTGACATTATAACCAGTGTCTGGATTATGTTCGACCAGCTGCTGACATTATAATCAGTGTCTGGATTATGTTTTACCAGCTGCTGACATTATAACCAGTGTCTGGAATATCTTTTACCAGCTGCTGTCATTATAACCAGTGTCTGGATTATGTACGAACAGCTGCTGACATTATAACCAGTGTCTGGATTATGTTAGACCAGCTGCTGACATTATAACCAGTGTCTGGATTATATTCGACCAGCTGCTGATATTATAATCAGTGTCTGGATTATGTTCGACCAGATTTCATTAAGCACTATCTTTAAAAGACAGTTCCTAAAAATGTGCACACAAGTAGGTGGTTTTGTGATATTGCTATTTATAACTAGTATTGACATTAGTACCAATGTCCGCTTTGAGCAGTCGAAATCGAGGGCAATTATTTTTTCAAACATTTGCCTAATTTTACAATTAACACATGACTTAGGAAAATCGAATAAAAATGTGTCAGGACTTATTTACATATCATTAGTGCCTATAGTACTTTTAACTTTCAAACAACTAAACAAATGTAATACAGTAAGGCTGAAGCCTAACATTTTTATGTAAACTTTATAATATTTACCTATGCTGGGTCATATCTAAGGATATAAATCATGATTCACTTTTTAAAATTAACTGGAAAAAATGTATCATAATATTTTCATTATAGTATAACATAGGTTTTGGACGACCCTGCTATAACAAATGTTTTGGGGGGGGGGGGGGGGGGGGGGGGGTAGCTCACAATATAAGTAAGTAAAACATCAATTTGGATACGAAATGTTATATTAATTTAATTTCAAATACAACCACAATTAAGGTTAATCACAGTTTACATCATACATGTAAATACACATCTTCGCTAGCCAAGGGATACGATCCAGTCCCCTCCTCTCCACCCTTGGCAGATTAAGCCAACATTTGTGATCACAATGCTGCGCCATATACCGGTAGGTAAAAGTCACGCCCATTCCGACTACATCAATCTTGACCAACGGCAGCGCTTGCACTCTCTTCATTTTGGATGTGTAAAATGGATGTGTCCAGTGTTTACAAATTTCGTAAAGCAGGAACCGAAAATATACAGTGACATTCCAACATTTGCGCAAGAAACATACCCAGAAACTTCAATTAGTTCATTAAAAACTTTGAAATTGTCACTTCATATATTTCTGTGTTTGGGGATAAAGACTTGTTGCACATTCAGCACGTGGCAATTGTTTAATTACATTTTCTACATTTACACGTGAGCATCTTGACGGCGCTTTTTGATTGGATTCAGCCAGTTACAACTGCAACCAATGGAAATCATTACTTCGTGGATCCAAAATTCTATCTTAATCCGCCAAGGGTGGAGAGGAGGGGACTGGATCGTAACCCTTGGCTAGCGAAGATGGTAAATACACGGCAAAGTCCAGTATAAATGTTTTGTTCACTACGGGTTTCCGTATACATATAAATTCGACGTCCGTGCCTGAGCCAGTCGTGTTTCTAAATAAAACTCACACTAGATCTTATTTGAATTAGCTACTACATGTAACATTACATCATTAGCTATAAACCAACAAAATACAAAAGCACCCTTAGTATTCAGATAATAAACTAATCGTTAAAGTATTTAGACAATGGGCAATGACAAACGGACTATACAGTACGTAATGTCAAGAAAAAGGCGTAATTAGCACATATATGTAGTTACTATTTTTTAAGATTAAAATGACTGACATGAAAGAAAACAGAAGAATTGTCTGAAAGATTAATTAAATGAAATAAATGAATCTAAAAGTTTCTATATTTTCACACTAGAATTAAATGGAAATTATCTCGTTCACTATAGTATACTTAAAATTCGGTTTTCTCATTTAACTCATTTAAAATGTTTGACATACAAAACCAAAAATAATAGTTTTCATAGAAAAAATGATGTTCCGAGATACAGAAAATTAAAAATGATCAGAATAAGTAAGAGTGCTTTTTTAAATGTAGGCAAAAGTTCGGTAAAAATTACTAAATCCTCAATAACAGTAAAAGAAGCAATAATGAATCCAAAATCGTAATTTTTTTTCTCGAAAAAGTTGCACTTTCGCATTACCCACTTCCTGTTCTGGTGAAGGCGGCTGTCATGATGTAAGTCATTCGATTACCGCAAATTTGATTATCTCATTACCAAATAGAATAAGGACAATAAATAAGGACTGATGTTATGAATTTATTCTGTTTATAAATTATTTAACTTACGATTGTATAGGAAACAAAATGAGTACTATGGGGAAACTCACCTGATCAATCAGGTAGATTTTTGTATCAAGGATACACGGATAATATAAGCCGACTAAGTATCTTCGTAGTTTTAGGGTATATATTTTTTTTAAAATATTTTCAATTTGATAATACTTTAATACGATAGAAACTTTCTCTATAGATGGCGTTTATTGTTTACTTCGAAAATAAAGCCCTCAATAAAATTCCTACAATAGTACAACCCCGGATACGTTTCCGTACTTCACACACTATATGATAAAATTCTGCTGGGAAATTATGGAATTATTTTTTTTCAATTTGATAAAGAGTTATTTCCTGTTCAGCACTCAGTCATGAATATCGTTATTTGTTTATCAGACGTCATTATTTGTAAATTGTAAATATTATTGATGGCCGTAAATGTAGTAATAAGATTCAAAACCATTTAACTGTTACAATAGTTTTAATTTGGTGAAAATCAGCAGGAACTTTGTCCTCTTGCTCAGTTAACACCTACTTTATATTATCAATGAAACAAACTTCATACGTTTTATTTGAAAGATAATTCATCAAAGATGTTTGAGTTTGTTTTTATATAGAGCTAAAAAATTTACAGGAGTTTTTTCTCTATTTCACAGTAATCTTTGAACATTCAAATAGGATTCTACAGACAATGGTAGAGGATAATATGTGTTAGGGAGCTACCATTTGATTTTTAGGGGGGGGGGGGGGTTAGGATGAAATTTGAAAAAAAGGCAAAACAGGAGTTCTGAGTAAAAAAAAGGAAGGATGAGCAACTTGGCAAAAAAACCTGTAATTTTTTGCTTAAATCTTTCATCAATGATTATTTTTGCTTTTCAATATATATTAATGTGTGGCTTAAAAATGCCATTTAAATGTTGTTTGTATCTGTCATATTTTCTTCAAAAGCAAAAAAAAATGAATTTTACCCCTATGTTACATGTTAGCCATAGTGGCTATGTTTCTTGAAGTACATGTACAAGGAAATAAAACACAAAATTTATATAAGATACTCTGAAAGTCATTCAGCCCAAGTTTGGCTGAAATTGATTCAGCAGTTGCAAAGGAGAAGATTTTTTAAAGTAAGCAAACTAGATTAGATGAACAAATTGTGAAAAATTGTCTTTAAAGGACAATAACTCCTTAAGGGGTCAATTGACAATTTTGCTAATATAAAATCTTATTTGTAGATCTTACTTTGCTGAACATTTTTGCTGTTTACAGTTTATCTTTATCTATAATAATATTCAAGATAATAACCGAAAACTGCAACATTTCCTTAAAATCATCAATTCAGGGGCAATAACCTAAAAATCAGATACACGATTTGACTGATAATTTCAGGGCAGGTAGACCTTGACCTAATGAATACTTTAACGTCTGTCTGATTTGCTCTAAATGCTTAGTTTAGTTTTTGAGATATAAGTCAAAAACTGCTTTTACCCTATGTTCTATTTTTAGCCATGTCGGCCATGTTTTATGAGGAAAACAGAAAATAAAACACAAACTTTATTCTAGATAACCTAAGAATCTTTCAGCTTAAGTTTGGTTTAATTTGGTTCAGTAGTTTCAGAGGAGAAGATTTTTTAAAGTTAGAAAACTTGATAAACAAATTGTGTAAAATTGTCCTTAAAGGGCAATAACTCCTTGAGGGGTCAATTGACAATTTTGGTCATTAAACTTATTTGTAGATCTTACTTTGCTGAACATTTTTGCTGTTTACAGTTTATCTTTATCTATAATAATATTCAAGATAATAACCAAAAATGGCAAAATTTCCTTATGCTTACCAATTTAGTGGCAGCAACCTATCAATGGGTTGTTAGATTCATCTGAAAATTTCAGGGCTGATAGAACTTGACCTAATGAACATTTTTACCTATGTCAGATTTGCTCTAAATACTTTGGTTTTTGAGATATAAACCAATAACTGCATTTTACCCCTATGTTCTATTTTTAGCCATGGCAGCCATGTTTTTTGACGAAACAGAAAATAAAACACAAACTTTATTCCAGATACCCTAAGGACCATTCAGCTTAAGTTTGGTTGGAATTGGTTCAGTTGTTTTAGAGGAGAAGATGTTTGAAATAGTTTACACCGGACGGACGACGACGACGGACGGCAAGTGATGGCAAAAGTTCACGAACAGTGAGCTAATAAAAAAGGCAGGACCGAATAAAGTGAAAAATTAAAAGGCAAGACAGAGATTACAACTAAAAAAAAATGCAGGACAACATTTTTCATCCTAGCCCCCCCCCTCTCCCCCCTCATCAAAATCAAATGGTAACTCCCTAACATACAACATTTAAAGTAATAATTATGGCGAGAATGTAATACCAAATGATATCTTACAAGGTGCTAAGCTGGCATTAATGACATTGCTCATTCCAGGTCCCATGAAATTCTCCACAATACATATGTACAGGCCTTCATCAGACTGGGAAAAGCTGTTTACTGTAAGAGTTGGTGTGCTATAAGTAGAGCCACTGTATTTAGACGGTTTTGTTGTTTCATTGATTTCTCTGTTTATATTATTTTTGTCCGTAAATGCCCATTTTACTCCACTCACAACGACTGGCGAGTCATACCAACAATCAAGATTAAGAGTTGCTCCTGGCTGTGGTGTCACATATGTCATAGAAGTGTTTACAGTTGGAACGGTTGGGACTAAAACAAAATGATAATGATAACATCAATGATAATGATAACATCAATGATAATGATAACATCAGATTAATACAAAACAAAATGATAATGATAACATCAGATTAATACAAAACAAAATGATAATGATAACATCAGATTAATACTTTTCTTATAATAGGGATAGTAAGTACAGAGGATGAGAACCTTTAAAACAGAAACCTAACATTCCAAGTAAATTTTTATATGTAATGGAGTTGTTTCTGAGATAAATCAGGGTTTAACCACCAACCTCTACCATACACTAACTAATTATAATCAAAATATATATAACCAGATGAAACATTTCAACCAAAATATTGGTTTATCCCTTGATACCGTTGTCAGGTGGAAGTAAAATTAAAACTAAAATTAGTAAAATTACTATTGATAGGAATAGTTTACATAAATCTATTCAACACACACTAGCTTGCAGGTACCGTTAAGTATATATGAATCAAAATAATGAAAATATGATTGAATTTCGTGATGCGTTTTATGCATTAAACTGGAACAGTGTCTTTTTATTTATATCTGATTATGCACCTAGAAAAAACTATTAATATCATATATATTGTCACCAGTTAAGAATAAGACACACAATAGTCACTGACACTTTAATGCAAAACAGAGAAGATACAAAGGGGGCAGTGAGCAATTATACATTCAATATCATAGAAAAAAAGGACGAAAAGACATTAAGTACTCTAAACACAACACACAAAACTAAAGATTGAGCAAAACGACCCCACCTCTCCCCCTAAAATAAATAGATAATCAAATAAGTATTACCTTTCATGTTGTTCACTAGCAAAATCCGGTTGTAAGTTTTTATTTGTGAGGAGTCATTATAACGACAGACAAGTACGGGATTATTGTCAAAATAAATGGACTATACCCGTGATCACTTTGACAAAGACAGTCCTTGGTTCTATTTTTATGGCTAGGTCAACGTTGCTCATTGGTGATTATGCCCCTTTGTGAGATACACTATAATAATAAGTATTGAATAAACTGTTTGCTGTGTATAAAACTATTCAAAAAATATTATTTGATGAACATGTCCATATGACAGAGATTGTATGCCTTTGGCCAAAATTTGATGATTCATTGGCCAACATTAAGAATTCTTGGTTCGTTTCCCAAATAGTGAAATGTTAACCGATGTATAGAATGCTTGTAAGACCTACATTTGACCTTAAACTCATTTTCATATTTTATTTGTTTACGTTACCGTAAAGTTTTCATTAATAATAGAAAATCCGATATAGAATAAAAAACTAAACATGAGTAGCCAAGTTCGTAAAACATCCACGTAGTAGTAAAATCATACATGACATATATAGTACATTCATAAAAATGTCCTACAACAAACGTGATTTACACGAAAAATCTTTCCTGCAGAATATCGATACCTCGAAATATAATTTTTTAAATTTGAGCATAATCAAGAAAACTTCCATCCACTAAGTTGACCACTGGGGAAATCATGAATACAGTTTTAAAGAACAATCGTCAGTATTGTCATTGCGTTATAAAAGCCGATTCTTAATTGTTAAAATTACCTGGACATGGTCCTGAATTTTGCACTTTGCTTGCTGAATCGCAGCTATCTGAAAAAAAAAGAAGAGAAAAATGAGAAGATAATACGAAATCCAATGTAGGATATAGAAGTCAAGGTCGTTAAACACACTCTTTTATTAGAACTATACATGGCATAATACATGTAGTACATTAGTAAATGTGAGCCATAAAAGTGTCCTGTGAAAAAAGGTATATATAAATGTGTCCGATGCTGTGAAAAAGTGTCCATTCAATCGGATATAATTTCATGATAAAACACTATTAAATTCTGTCCTGTAAAGGTTGATTTTCAATAAGAGGACACTTTTATATCACTAAAACAAACCAATGAAGAACCAGTTATAATTTTATATAAACAAAAACCAATCTAATTTAACTGATCTTACTCCACTGATTTGTTTGACACTTTATTGAAAGAAATGTTTCTTCCATCTAGTGAATCAAACTCCGATTCTGAAATTCAGGTTCTACAGGCAGATATTCCTGTCACAACCTTTTGTTAAAAGAACAAGAGAGGCCAAATGTATGAAGAACAGTATTTTTGAGTACTATTCTTGAATATTACATGATTTTGTAAATTGAAATGAATTACATGTATTGTTATTCACATAGTTCATATTAAGTTCTATTAAATGTATTACTTTTTTTGTGTGTATAAGTACATGTTTTATTGTATAATCTATGTTTAATTACACATGGTGATGATCACATTTTGTATGAATTCTATACTCCAGTTACATGCCATGTTTTAATAGAGACAAAATCCTTAAGCTAATTAAAACTTCAATTTAGACAAAGAACTGAAGCTATGTATACATTTTGTAGGTATTGAGAGTGGACATTTTTTTCACGCGAAATACTGTCAATTCTATGAAGGACATTTTTTAATTGAAATACTGTCCTTTCTTTGAAGGACACTTTTTCACATCTGTGGACACGATTTCATAGGTAAATATCGTCCGGGCGATATTTCATAAAAACATTATGTCCGTAGACACAATTCACTGAGAAAATGTGTCCGTTGGACATAATTTCATGGCGGACAATATTTAATCCTACATAAATACAGACTGGTTTATACAAAAGGTCTTGTAATTCTTTCTTTGTGTTGAATGTTTATTATTGATATTTATTTTGAAATTTATATTAAAAATACGATTCCCCCCACCCCTCCCCCCGATTGTAATGGATATGTCAATGCCATGTTAAGAAAGTAAGATTTGTTTAATATTGAGGCTGTAGCAACGAAAGTCATGTTTTGGGGTGAAAACTGAAAAACCGCATAAATGCTGTATATTATAGATATAAATGGAACATATATTTCGTGTCGTTTAATGGCTCTTATCATCACTATTATGAGCAAAACCCCTATTTTCTTCATCGGTTAGCCCAAGGATTAAGTATAGAAGTGTACCACGTCACAAGCGATGACATAAAACCATTTTTTGAAATACCAATGAAAATGGACCTATTTAGGTTATCGAAAGTTGATCTTCTACACAAATGTTATTAAGATTAAGCAGCAATCCCAATTTTTAATAAAATTGGATGATATATCTGTAACATGATAACGGTAAATCTTCTGAATAACAAAAATCTTATATGCAAAGGGAAATGATTATCAATGTTCTTAATTGATTATCATGCATTTCTTCTTTGTGTGCTCATTCAATTATCTCCTTAAAACGCTTCATAAATGAGTTACAGCTGATATTCTACAATTCATTTTAGTATATTTTTCCTACACTTTAATAATATATATTGTAAAAGCTTTTAATATTAAAATAAGAAGATGTGGTATAGTTGCCAATAAGTCAACTCTCCACCAGAGACCAAGTGTATTTTGCAGTTTTGAAGATGAATTCACTTGTTCAAATACAACACTAACCATAGTCAAAAAGGGAAGCATAATCAATTAGTAGAAATGTTACACTTTTAAAAGTGTCGTATGTAAATCGGCAAGGATTTCTATTTAGAGATGACGAGACACACATGAGGCATGAGGTAATTGTTATTATAGAATTATTTGAAATTTTTCGCAAATTTTTAATGTTGTCGACTAAATACCCATTGATAGATGAAGAAATAAAAGTTCAATAATCTAAAAAAAATTGGTTAAATGTAAGCTATATATTTTTTTTATGTCTGCTGTGGCAGTTTCTTCTGTTTTTTGTTGTTGTCATTTGTACGTTTTATTCAGTTGCGTACTTTTTATTGGGCCTCTCGGCTGACCACATTTGTTTTTAGGTAAAATCTACCGTTTTCCACTTACTTGATAGGCCTTTGCAAAATTGTTACCAATTTAAGTTCAATAGGCATCAAAACTGTCAATCTACCTGAAACACTGTTTAGATCCCTATATGTATGTGTTGGATCTTGACATATCTCAATAAAACTTCTATACGATTTCTTTTTTGATCCCAGTTCGGCATTTTATTCTTGAAAAAAATTAACAACTTATTTTTATGTGAAAATCGTAGAAACTGCCTCCTTAACAATCCTGCACATTTGCTGCTCAGATAATGCATATGAATTCATTTATCCGCCTGTTTCCATAAATCGTCCACATGAGGCCTTTTTCCAATTATTGTGCTTAAAACGAGTCATTCATAAAGAAAAGCCAACAATTTTCCCAATGAACTATCTACACGTAGATCATTTCTTTTCACTTCTGTGACAGATCCACATAGCTTAAAATCGGTCAGCCAGAAAATGGCAAAAATAGAATCGTGGAACGCACTAGCAGACCAAGCTCATGTTTCTTTTTCAATCTAGTTTAAGGTCAGGGGTCTCCCGCCGTCTTGGATTGTAAAAAAACAGACAGCAATAGGTCCAGATTAACGTCAGAAATGCAATTAATTTTTACAGACTTTTTATTTAAATACGATATGTCGTATTATTAGGACTTTTATTACGAATACAGAATATTTTTCTGCTGAATAATTATTAATAGACATATCAAGGGAGATAGCTCGGCTATTAAGGAATGTACAGTTAATCTAACTATTTTGTTTTGCAGCAAGAAAATGAGTACGGTGACTTCAATTTGTATATCTAAATTTTATGAGGGCGAAGTATAAGAGCTATTTTTTAATATCTCATTTTAAAATCATATCGTTAAGTTATATTTTTTATCACACAAAAGTATTTTTTTATGTTTAATCTTTACACATAATCTGATACTTATGTACAAACTGCAGCTTGTAAAAAAGCTCCGTCACCGGTATTTTTATTATATTTTTGAAATAGCTTGATATACAATAAACCATATTTTTCGAAAACCAACTGATGTTGTGTTAAGAAATGTTAAAACAAGCGAACTACGAAAAGTTATCTGCAGTGTTTTGATGAAATATTTGGCTATCAGAAGTTAGTTAAATAGGTTCTCACTAAAAAAAACGCCATTTTACACATCATTTACAAGAATTTAGTCTGGTCTGCTAGAATTTCGTTTCTTATTATCGTCAAGCATATTGAAAGTTAGCATTCTGTTTCCGCACTCAGAAATTAGCAGTTCTAAATGAAGTCAATGCGTGAGTGCAAATGCTGGCCGATTTCGGTAGATGATATATTTAAGGAACGATTGTAGTATCATACACCATGCAAGTCATGTAAGTTAATTTGTTTGAGAAGAAATGTTTAAGGGAATAAAGGATACTAAAAAAATATTAAAGAAGATAAAACTGATTAAAAGAAATCTAAAATATTTACTCAAAATCAATGATTGACTTATAATAAAAGTTGCAATATTTTTGATTATTATCGACACACGTCCAACTTTCAAAAATATAGACCAGAATAAATCTATCTTTTATATTTATCTTGTCATCGAATATAAACCATACCATTTAACAGTAGATATACACGGAAGTAATCAGCCGTTTCAATGCTGCTAAACGTCGATGGGTCCACATTCGCTATAAATACAAAAAGAACATGGGTTATGAACAATTTCCAGAGTTTTCTTTCAAGTAAACTATAATTGCTTACATCCACTTCATTTGAACTTTGGTGGATAGTTGTCTCATTGGCAATCATACCACATCTCCTTATGTTATATGCCAAAACAAGTAATGTTTTACTACCCAATTTCGTCGGAAACCGATAAAAACAACATTATTTAATATTATCTATGATTTTGAAAATAAGAGGGAGTTTCTCTAGAACAATCTTATCGAATGGCATTAAAACATTCATCGAATTGGTGATGAAACAGTAAATTCACAAAATAAAAAATAATAGCAATGATATTTCATGCCAACATATAAGTTCTGAAAAGAGGATGGTGATACCCCCGGAACGAAACGTTCATCAGCAGTGGCATCGTCCCAAAAGTTGTTAAAACTCTTTAAAGATACCAGGTTTATAATTTCGTCTACATTACTAATCAATGGCACTCGAATCAAAACAGTTGGTTCTTAAAATGAATCTTAAAACTGTTCTAAATAGTATATTTTGGACACGATCAACAATTTTAAATTTGGAAAATGACGTAAAAATGTCCCAAACCTGCATTCTTTTTATGACGTCCCAGCTTAAATTCTACGAAAGTGCATTATTACGTCACAAACAAGGCGGTATACGTCCAATGATTATATATTACATGTTTATACATTTAATGCATTTTGACTGTGTAAATAGTACAGTTGCAGTAAACAATTTGTTTATCACTATTTTCATAGCCAATTAGGCTTATGAAATCATCGTGTACTCACTCTTCTCGGCTGTGTAAAAACCCATTATTATGCAACTGGTTTGTAAAGACGATTTTGAGTAGTCATCAACACATATTTTTTAAGGGGATAAATCCCACAATCTACTAGTCTGTATCTAAGGTAAGCCGCTATTTAGTTTCCGGAATGTTTTCGTATGTGATTTATTCAATAAAGAAACAAAAACGTTTTTACCTAAAATAAAATATACCGCAAAGCAAGCTATAAAAGACCCCGAAATGAAAAATGTGAAACAATTAAAATCATGCTTTAAAACTCGCCAACTCAATTACAATTTTTGTCAGTAAAAATATTTGATGTTCATATTATTCTTTTCCAATTTTAAATACATAGATTTTTCTTACAAAAATATATGTTGTTGATACAAGAAGTCGGTGACCCCATTATTATTTTACGTCATTAAAACGGAAATTTCTGTTTCAACAACATATAGTTTTTTAAGAAAAATCTATGTATTTAAAATTGGAGATTTGAAGATTTTAAGGCAAATATTAGAACTTTTTGTGCCAATTTTATGTGCTTTCTATACAAATGCTCACCTATTTTGAGAAAATTTAATCAGTGATATTTCAAATAATAAAAGAGATAAATGCATTATTTTATGATTGATAGTTATATAGTTTAACGAGTCAAAGTTATATGCCAAATTTTACTAAAATCTGTGACATAGCCTATTTACTGTTACGTGACCTTAATGGATTACCCTCGGTTTTTGGTGGGGTTTGTATTGCTCAGTATTTAGTTTTCTGTGTTGTGTTTTGTAGACTTTTGTCTTTTCGTCGTTTTACGTTTTTCACCTCTCTTTTAAGAAAAGATGGAGTTCTAGAGTAATCGAATACCCTTCTGAGGCGTTAAAGTTATTCTTATAATTCATAACTTGCTAGGAATATGTTGAAATGTTCGACTGGTAAATTTTTACATATAGCGCAAACAAAAGGACTCAAATATGAAAATTATTGATCATCGTTTTGTAAACGTAAACGTAGATTTTTTTGCGGGTTATCATTTTCGCGATTGGAATGCACAAACCTTTCGGTGTTAAATTCGTGTTTCAAACAATAACTTCGCCTTTCACATCAATATGATTGCTATCTACAAACTATTTTCGGGAATTGCATGTGATCGCAAAATAAGTGAAAAGAACACCCGCTTGAAATTTTACACGTTTTCCGTGGTTTAAACTTGGGAAACTATGTTGTCGAAACTACGTTCAAAGACTATGTAAACACAATGTCATCTATTGGTGTGTAAACTGGCCCACTGACTCACAAACTTTTCATAAAAAGTCCTATAGTTACATATCAATACCCTTTATAAATGTTTATTACCTTAACTTTAACTATATTAATTCTTTTATGACCCCGATATTCCCCTACCTATTTGGATAGCGGGTTCAAAAGCTTCTGTTTGATTTAAATATTCAACAAGACAACTCCCAGTAGGATTAGTGTGAATCAAAACAATTGAGACAAAGATTAAACATACCAGACGATGGCCTTGAATAATAATAATTATAAAAAACAACTAAAAGACGAAGAACATTGTAGAAAACATTACACAGAAAACTGAAGACTGAGCAAACAAAACCCAAACAAAAACCTGGGTGAACTAAGTGGAAAACGATTCCGTCTCTACTATCGGCACCCATTGTCATGTTTATGAAAAGTAATAACTCAATATTCGGGATGTTACAATCGAGGAACAGATGGTGAGAATGTAAATACGACTTATGAAACATGTCATCCTTGACAAAGACATTAGGTCACGGTCAACTAAATAGTAGACTGGGGTAGAGAAAAAAAGTCTTCTCCCATACGCCGTGGAGCCCAGGCTAAACAGTGGTGTCCTTTTGACTGTGCGGTTTATATTAAAACGTCCGGTCGGGGGCCATTATTTGTGTTGCCTTGTGAAGAAAAAGTTTGAAATTAAGTACCAATTGTATCAATTGATACTTTGCCCTCGTCCTGAGTATGCATGCCATATTTTCCCTTAGACGATTAGCAGATTGCAATCAATTATTTCATCCTAAAAAAAGACGTCTAAGACTAATGCATTTAAAACTGAAATAAATCTTTTATTTTGACGGTAGCTAGGTGTTTTTGTGTCGATTTATATTAACTGATAAAGTTTAGGGAATTTAAAGTTGATATAGATATATATATATATATATATATGGTTTATATATATAGTCAGCAGGGTTTAAGAACATCAGTTGTTCGACCTGCTAGTCAAATGCGTTTTGTTAAAATATACTTTTTCTCTTTTTTGGTCTTTTGGAAAATGTTGTTTGTGCTGTATTTAGACCCCTCTACGAAGAAATTTGTTTTGCATCCACACGTATAAAAATTGCGGTTTTTATCCAACGCAATCACAGGTTTGAACGTTGTTTTCAATTTAGACTTGTTTATATTTTTTCGTTTGGGCTTGTATTATATTTGCCTTCGGGTTTATATGATCCGTTCATCCTATTTCGACTCTTTTCAAAATTCAAGAGTCTATCCTAAATTGAGGTAAATTATATGGCCTTCCAAATACCGTTTCGATTCCTAACATCACTGAAGAGACATTGATTGTCGAAATCCGGATATGGTGTACAAACTTTTGCACCTCATGTTTGCGGTATACCATCTTTTCCGCAAGTTTATTGTTTTCTGTTTGGTAATAAATTAATAATAAGATCCATTTTTACATCTGGTGATCCGTTTATTTGGCAATCGCCAATGGTAGTCAGCAGGGTTTAAGAACATCAGTTGTTCGACCTGCTAGTCAAATGCGTTTTGTTAAAATATACTTTTTCACTTTTTTGGTCTTTTGGAAAATGTCGTTTGTGCTGTATTAAGATCCCTCTACCAAGAAATTTGTTTTGCATGCACACGTATAAAAATTGCGGTTTTTATCCAACGCAATCATAGGTTTGAACGTTGTTACAATTTAGACTTACCATCTTTTCCGCAAGTTTTTTGTTTTGTATTTGGTATTAGATTAAAATTAAGATCTATTTTGTTACATCTGTGATCCGTTTATTTGGCAATAGCCATGGCAGTCAGCAGGGTTTAAGAACATCCGTTGTTCGACCTGCTAGTCAAATGCGTTTTGTTAAAATATACTTTTTCACTTTTTGGTCTTTTGGAAAATGTTGTTGTGCTGTATTTAGACCCCTCTACCAAGAAATTTGTTTTGCATGCACACGTATAAAAATTGCGGTTTTTATCCAACGCAATCATAGGTTTGAACGTTGTTCTCAATTAAGATTTGTTTATATTTTTTCGTTTGGGCTTGTATTATATTTGCCTTCGGGTTTATATGATCCGTTCATCCTATTTTGACTCTTCAAAATTCAAGAGTCAATCCCAAATTGAGGTAAATTAATTATATGGCCTTCCAAATACCGTTTCGATTCCTAACATCACTGAAGAGACATTAATTGTCGAAATCCGGATATGGGAACAAATTTTTGCACCTCATGTTTGCGGTATACCATCTTTTCCGCAAGTTTTTTGTTTTGTATTTGGTATTAGATTAAAATTAAGATCTATTTTGTTACATCTGTGATCCGTTTATTTGGCAATCGCCATGGCAGTCAGCAGGGTTTAAGAACATCCGTTGTTCGACCTGCTAGTCAAATGCGTTTTGTTAAAATATACTTTTTCACTTTTTGGTCTTTTGGAGAATGTTGTTGTGCTGTATTTAGACCCCTCTACCAAGAAATTTGTTTTGCATGCACACGTATAAAAATTGCGGTTTTTATCCAACGCAATCATAGGTTTGAACGTTGTTTTCAATTTAGACTTGTTTATATTTTTTCGTTTGGGCTTGTATTATATTTGCCTTCGGGTTTATATGATCCGTTCATCCTATTTCGACTCTTCAAAATTCAAGAGTCAATCCCAAATTGAGGTAAATTAATTATATGGCCTTCCAAATACCGTTTCGATTCCTAAGATCACTGAAGAGACATTAATTGTCGAAATCCGGATATGGTGTACAAATTTTTGCACCTCATGTTTGCGGTATACCATCTTTTCCGCAAGTTTTTTGTTTTGTATTTGGTATTAGATTAAAATTAAGATCTATTTTGTTACATCTGTGATCCGTTTATTTGGCAATCTCCATGGCAGTCAGCAGGGTTTAAGAACATCCGTTGTTCGACCTGCTAGTCAAATGCGTTTTGTTAAAATATACTTTTTCACTTTTTGGTCTTTTGGAAAATGTTGTTGTGCTGTATTTAGACCCCTCTACCAAGAAATTTGTTTTGCATGCACACGTATAAAAATTGCGGTTTTTATCCAACGCAATCATAGGTTTGAACGTTGTTTTCAATTAAGACTTGTTTATATTTTTTCGTTTGGGCTTGTATTATATTTGCCTTCGGGTTTATATGATCCGTTCATCCTATTTCGACTCTTCAAAATTCAAGAGTCAATCCCAAATTGAGGTAAATTAATTATTTGGCCTTCCAAATACCGTTTCGATTCCTAACATCACTGAAGAGACATTAATTGTCGAAATCCGGATATGGTGTACAAATTTTTGCACCTCATGTTTGCGGTATACCATCTTTTCCGCAAGTTTTTTGTTTTGTATTTGGTATTAGATTAAAATTAAGATCTATTTTGTTACATCTGTGATCCGTTTATTTGGCAATAGCCATGGCAGTCAGCAGGGTTTAAGAACATCCGTTGTTCGACCTGCTAGTCAAATGCGTTTTGTTAAAATATACTTTTTCACTTTTTGGTCTTTTGGAAAATGTTGTTGTGCTGTATTTAGACCCCTCTACCAAGAAATTTGTTTTGCATGCACACGTATAAAAATTGCGGTTTTTATCCAACGCAATCATAGGTTTGAACGTTGTTTTCAATTTAGACTTGTTTATATTTTTTCGTTTGGGCTTGTATTATATTTGCCTTCGGGTTTATATGATCCGTTCATCCTATTTCGACTCTTCAAAATTCAAGAGTCAATCCCAAATTGAGGTAAATTAATTATATGGCCTTCCAAATACCGTTTCGATTCCTAACATCACTGAAGAGACATTAATTGTCGAAATCCGGATATGGTGTACAAATTTTTGCACCTCATGTTTGCGGTATACCATCTTTTCCGCAAGTTTTTTGTTTTGTATTTGGTATTAGATTAAAATTAAGATCTATTTTGTTACATCTGTGATCCGTTTATTTGGCAATCGCCATGGCAGTCAGCAGGGTTTAAGAACATCCGTTGTTCGACCTGCTAGTCAAATGCGTTTTGTTAAAATATACTTTTTCACTTTTTGGTCTTTTGGAAAATGTTGTTGTGCTGTATTTAGACCCCTCTACCAAGAAATTTGTTTTGCATGCACACTTATAAAAATTGCGGTTTTTATCCAACGCAATCATAGGTTTGAACGTTGTTTTCAATTAAGACTTGTTTATATTTTTTCGTTTGGGCTTGTATTATATTTGCCTTCGGGTTTATATGATCCGTTCATCCTATTTCGACTCTTCAAAATTCAAGAGTCAATCCCAAATTGAGGTAAATTAATTATATGGCCTTCCAAATACCGTTTCGATTCCTAACATCACTGAAGAGACATTAATTGTCGAAATCCGGATATGGTGTACAAATTTTTGCACCTCATGTTTGCGGTATACCATCTTTTCCGCAAGTTTTTTGTTTTGTATTTGGTATTAGATTAAAATTAAGATCTATTTTGTTACATCTGTGATCCGTTTATTTGGCAATCTCCATGGCAGTCAGCAGGGTTTAAGAACATCCGTTGTTCGACCTGCTAGTCAAATGCGTTTTGTTAAAATATACTTTTTCACTTTTTGGTCTTTTGGAAAATGTCGTTTGTGCTGTATTTAGACCCCTCTACCAAGAAATTTGTTTTGCATGCACACGTATAAAAATTGCGGTTTTTATCCAACGCAATCATAGGTTTGAACGTTGTTTTCAATTTAGACTTGTTTATATTTTTTCGTTTGGGCTTGTATTATATTTGCCTTCGGGTTTATATGATCCGTTCATCCTATTTCGACTCTTTAAAATTCAAGAGTCAATCCCAAATTGAGGTAAATTAATTATATGGCCTTCCAAATACCGTTTCGATTCCTAACATCACTGAAGAGACATTAATTGTCGAAATCCGGATATGGTGTACAAATTTTTGCACCTCATGTTTGCGGTATACCATCTTTTCCGCAAGTTTTTTGTTTTGTATTTGGTATTAGATTAAAATTAAGATCTATTTTGTTACATCTGTGATCCGTTTATTTGGCAATCGCCATGGCAGTCAGCAGGGTTTAAGAACATCCGTTGTTCGACCTGCTAGTCAAATGCGTTTTGTTAAAATATACTTTTTCACTTTTTGGTCTTTTGGAAAATGTTGTTGTGCTGTATTTAGACCCCTCTACCAAGAAATTTGTTTTGCATGCACACGTATAAAAATTGCGGTTTTTATCCAACGCAATCATAGGTTTGAACGTTGTTTTCAATTTAGACTTGTTTATATATATATATATATATATATTACAGGATTCAAGATAACAGGCAAAAAAGCAAAATAATGGGAAAATCGTCATTAAAGTGCAATAACTGCAATTAGGAGTAGACTGCAAATTTCGATCATGTTGACTTATTTGTAGATTATTTGTAAAACAGGCAATATTCTAAAGGGTTTAAGAGTTGAAGTAAATAAGGTAACAGTTATTACGTATTCATGACTTTTCAAAATAATTTAATTCGTGCAAATTACCTGTGTATGGTGAACCTTGTGTGCTATACACGAACTGTGGACTACTACCTGGATTAGCAGGGTCAAAATATATTCCAGCAAATATTGTGCTACTACTTGGTCTTTTGTAAAGGTATTCATAGTTACCTTGACTGGAAAAAAGAAAGAATAATACATTTTCATGAATGAATCATTGGAATACCAAACTAAATAAGAAAAAAAAAACACCAAGGAGTAATCAAAGTCCATACTCTTTCACAAGCTTGTGGACATTTTGTTATATAATATTTCACAAGCTTGTGGACATTTTGTTATATAATATTTCACAAGCTTGTGGACATTTTGTTATATAATCTTTCACAAGCTTGTGGACATTTTGTTATATAATCTTTCACAAGCTTGTGGACATTTTGTTATATAATCTTTCACAAGCTTGTGGACATTTTGTTATATAATCTTTCACAAGCTTGTGGACATTTTGTTATATAATCTTTCACAAGCTTGTGGACATTTTGTTATATAATATTTCACAAGTTTGTGGACATTTTGTTATATAATATTTCACAAGCTTGTTGACATTTTGTTATATAATCTTTCACAAGCTTATGGACATTTTTTTTATTATCAAGATGACCACTAAATATCAGTTTATCAATCCCATTAAATCATTTTCAATCCCGTAAAATAATTTTCAAACTACATAATAAGCACCGGAAAAAATAAAAAAATCATTAATTAGGATGGGTTGTTTAATATAGGTGACAGTAAAATTATATGCCGATATAAAAAATGACTCCCCACGTTAATCCAAACAGCCATACCTGTACTTTCTATAAAAATCAAAAACAAATCAGTAAATTTAGTAAAACAGTATGGATTGTATATATTAAATGACACCACTGTTGTTACACAACAACTTCAAAATATTGACAGCAAGAATTTAGAGTGACAACATTTCCACCTTTTATTAAAAAACCTACATAAATGTTTGCCCGTATCCTTTAACGCTGGTCATATTTGTACTCTATTATGAAAATAATAGATCGATAACATAAATCAGTAAATAAGTTAACTCAGGATGGATTGTATCATATAAATGGCAGCAATATTGGAACACAATCACTACAAAATTTTGTCGACTTTAATTAAGTGTGACTTTATTTCCTAATTTATAAAAAAAATACTGAACTGGAATAAAAAAAAACCTACAAAAATCAACACTGGTATTTATACTTATTAATGAAAATTATATGCCGGTAAATTTGGTAACTCAGGATGGATTGTATTGTTTAAATGACAGACATAATGGCACATAATGACTACAAAATTTCGACATAATTAAGAGTGCTTACATTTCCACTTGTTATTCAAAATACTAAACCGACACTCAAAATTTTAATATCTCAGGATGGTATGCATATCAAAATGTATTGTCCACATCAATCAACACACAGCAATATTTGAACTTTATTGGAAAGTTATATTCCCGGTATCATTAATCAGAAAATTACTTTACTCCGAATGGATTATCTTATATATATAACAGCAATATTGGTATACAATGAATATACAACTTTTTCGGCAGTAGTTTAGTGTGCCTTTATTTCTTATTTTTATTAATAAAAAAAACTCTGAACCGGCATTTATATCAATAATCTTAATATATCAAGATGGTTTGTATAACTGACATTTATACCCGTCAGGATAATCACTGGTCATATTTGTGCTTTATAATGAAAACTGTATGCTTGCATCATAAATGCGTTACTTTGATAACTTCAAATAGATTGTAAAATATAAATGACACCATTTATTGGTATAAAAATTTCTATAAACTCCTGTTAACTTTAATTAACAGTTTTAGTCAGCCTGATCATTCAATCATTTCTATGCAAGTTCGCATCATCGAAAAAATATACCACAGGACTAACAATCCTCATCTTGCAACACTTCTCCGTAGACGAAAGGAATACTACTGGATTAAATAATTGGAAACTGAAACACCATATGGTTGCAATAACAAAATTGATGGTATAAATATTCTATCTAGTACTTCCTGTAGATCGGTGAATGTGATGAACATTTTAAACTCTACTCCTCGACGTAGACGCAGTCATGGTCATCCTCATTATACATCACCTACTCTCCATGATGTCTGTATTAATGACCTGCTGCCATTTAAAAAAGCCGTTGTGTATTCATCACATTCGCACGAAGCTTTATTCACTACCCCTTTCAATCTCCATTCTCTGTACCACTTATGTTTGGAAACCACTGTAACAAACCCCCATTCAAACCAATACAAACTTACAGCTATCATCTCGGATATTGCCAGGCACATCTTTTCAAACCAGTTTGCATTGGAAAAGATGAAAAGAAGAAAAGTTCTTTCTTAAACTTTCCTTTTCAAAGAAAGGTCTCGATGCCATCAGCTTTGGCAATATCCTTCATCATAAATCAGTTCACCCGAAATACCTCCTTATTTTAAAGAGCAGTCTTTACCTATCATTTCTTATACCTATACCAAACCAATTGCTACTAAAATTTTCAATTACAAACACGTTTTGCAGGATCTCAAAATTGACAACTTCAAGTCTAAACCTCCTGATTGCACATGTGCTAATTCCCCATTCATATATAATCCGACTGGCCACGTTATTACTGGTGACCTTATAACTGTCAATAACACTTCTCTGCGATATGTGTTTCCCAAAGGTCCAATTTATCGTGAGCCCTAATTCATCAATTGGAAACACAACTTCAAAATACTGATGGATTCAGTCCAGGATTATGCCAGGCAATGGGTTATACGCAAGACAGAAGACGTAGATACTCTTTCCGAATGGATCAAGGCTTTGATGTCGTTGAAAATCAGAATTAAAAAAACTGAATGGGTCTATGAATACACATGCTACATCAATCTTTAAAGACCCAAATGTTGCAAAACCTTCCTCCATAGCAAATATGTTATTGTCCCCGCAGATAAAGCCCCAAACAACATCGTTTTTGTGTGTAAATCACGTTAAATAAACTGCTTGAAAAATTAATTGGGTATTAACAATTCACTTGGAAACTCAACAGATACCCCCACGACAGTTACCAAGGAGAATATCCTGAATAATCATAGGTATGTTCTATGTTCCTTTGGAATTTCAGCCAAAGATGAAGAACTTGATGTCCCTTCACTGTATTGGATACCTCAATTACATAACTGTCTTTACAAAAAACTTTATATTGCTGGGTCTTAAAAATGAAACCTCTTTCTAAATTATTAACATCAATTTGATCAGCAATCAAAGGTGGACTTCAAAGTTATTTTGAAACTACCTATTCCAGAGGTGGCGTGAAACAGATCTGATACTAAACAATTCCAGAGATCTTTAAGAGTACTTACAAACTCGGACTCTTTCGTTTTGCAATAGTATTAAAACATTTGACTTTTCTACACTTTACACAAGTATTCCCCATTCCAAACTAAAAGAGTTGGTCCTTCTTTGTTTCCTAAAAACAGATGGGCCAACGTTCATAAAAGTATCTTGTCTTAGGGAGAGATAGATCGCACTTTGTATAAAATTACTCTGATTCTAACAAAATATCTCTGAAATTGACATTATCAAGACGTTTGATTTCTTGATTGACAACATATTTGTTATGTCTGGAGGACGTGTTTTTCAACAAACAATCAGCATTCCAATGGAAACCAACTGTGCTCCTCTTCTTGCCGACTTGTTCCTATATTCACATGAGGCTGCATTCATACAGGAGTGAACTTTCCATTTCTATGTAGCAATATTCAATTCCACCTGCGCCTGCATATGGAGTATAAATTCCCCAGTTGATACGATATTCCCGGGCTTGTATTTCCTATCATTATTTCCTTGATAGAGGATTGATGCTCACAAGGAAACTATTAAACCAGGAGATCCAAGTGGTGAAGTTGAAACCATCCCTTTTAAATTTTACGGACGCCATAACAAGCTGGTTGATCGTTATGGAATATCTGTTCCACAGATGAGGACGGATATATTCCAATTGTCGTAACTCTTTTCCCCGAATGTGACCTACCGAATTAGACTTATCACCGGGTATGTACTTACATTTACATAAGCAACACGACGGTAGACAGGTGGAGCAGGATCTGCTTACCCTTCCGGAGCACCTGATATGACCCCAGTTTTTGGTGGGATTCGTGTTGCTCAGTCTTTAGTTTTGTATGTTGTGTTTTTGTCTTTTTCTTTTTTTGCCATGGTGTTGTCAGTTTATTTTCGACTTATGAGTTTGAATGTCCCATTGGTATCTTTCACCACTCTTTTAGATTGATAACACTAAATTCAAAATTCCTGACCAAAACAAAAAATCAGTAGTATTGATATTTTAGGATGGTTTATATAACAAAATGTTTTTCTGTATCAATCAACATTGTCCATATTCATATATTTTGTACTTTATATTGAAAATCATATGCTGGAATTATACATGTCATAATAACATTTCAATATTTTTGCAGAATATGCGCATTTCGACAATTAACGCTGATTCATAAATCAGTAAGTTTGGTAACGCAGGATAGATTCTAAAATATAACTGACACCATTATTAGTATACAATGACTTAAGCAAATTGTTTTTGTGATTGTCATGTTTGTGAGGCTGGAATTTGATAAAGTGGTTAAATTGAATTTTTTTGGTCTCTGGAAAGGGTACAGGTTTTCATGTGTTCGATTGTATAAAGCAAGCCCTGTTTTTCCTACAGGTTGAATACCAAATTCAGGGTTTGTTCATCTAACTCAATATTCAAGGTTTGGGGTTTTTTTTATAAAATATCATAGGAAAACTTTGAAAATTTGATTATTGTCTGAAGCAGGCCTGTAATTTTCTGGCATTTTACGGAAAGTTGTTGAATAACCATGTGCATTTTGAATGAATAATCTTGCTACAGAGGCGTGGCTACCTGCAACAGTTGTTCAATGTTCTTAATTTCGGCGATGAATTTCGATGAACGGCAGTTAAAATTAAGTTTGAAATGCAGTTTCCAAAGCACGCAGATTTTCGTGAAGTTGATAATTATTTAGTAGTTTTTTTTCTGCTTCTAGTTTACTAATCATAAAGTGCTGGACGTTGACTTGAATAAAACAGAACAAAACAGATTAAATGCACAAAAATTATGGAAGCTCGCTTTCAGAAATACCAATAAAGTTGGTAAAAAAATAAATCAAAATGACACATGAATGAAAAAGATCAAATATGATAGTGAAAACTTAAAGGGGACAGCTTTAAACCGAGCAACAATCCATAACTATTATAATGGCATAAATATCTCAAGTACAGAGAATAAATCTTCTACATCCACACAGCACGAGTGACAAACAATGCAATCAATATAAAAATGAGGAAATTTGGAATTATTGCTAATGATACACAGACCAAAAGAACAAAGATGTGAACACAAAAAGGTCACCATACGGCCTTCAACAATGAGCAAAAACGTACCGTATAGTAAGCTATACATAAATCCGGTATGACAAAATGTGAAACAATTCAAAAAAGAACATCAAAACATTTATTTATACAACTACAATGAACGAAATACAAATATAGCAGATAGCAATTAACAACATAGATAACAGGTTTCTAACGACGTAGTTGGAACCAAGGTTTCTTAAAGGTTTTCGAATTAAGCAGCAGAGAATCAAATAAATATATGCATTAAACGAGTTTATTCAAAACACAATAAGTGTATATGGATTGTATCTTAATTTACTCGCTGTGGTAACTTCATCATCGTATGAATTAGAATGTAGAAAACATCTAATACCTTTTTTTGCTTTTTTTTCTTCCGTGTTGAAAGCCGTTTTCAGCAACCTTAGTTATATCATGGGGCAGTTTTTGTAATTATTGGAAGAAGCCAGGAGTACCCGCAGAGACCCGCCTGACTTAGGAAAGAAATCTGGTAATCCTTGTCAAGTAAGATCGGGTTAAACACACCTCGGTTCGACAGGGGTTCGAACTCACAACCTCAGTTGACAGGCTAGTGATCACTGTAGCTACACCTGACTTAACAGTATTAATTTTCTCATTGTTGAAGGCCGTTCAGTGACCTTCAGTGCTGCTTACATCCACGTCAAATCAACTTTGGTGGATAGTTATCTTATTGGCAATCAAACTACATCTCCTTATATTTATACTAACTAAGACCACTCGGCCACAAGTAAACATTGGACCAAGTAAACAATTCTGTAGCGTGGTATCGTGTTTCCAATTCCATAACCAATGGAAAATGCATTGTCTTGTATCTTTCGTTTGTTGACTAGTTTGATTTGCCATAATGATACAAGTATTAATGTTGTTGCATTTTGGATTTTCATATAACATGACATATATTTATATAAAAAGTACATGTTAAACGTCAGTAGATAAAATAAGTTATAAAATATTAATATACTCACTTTGTAAGATACTGGTCGAATTGGCCATTAGTATAAAAATCGCTCTCAGTAGTATAATCTGGAATTTCCTGGAGAACCTGCTCAAGATTACCAGACATTTTATGCCGATTAGATTTAGTGTATTTTATTTCATATTTAAATTGACCGGCTTCAAAGAAGAAGTTATACCACTGAAAAGAGAGAAAAACAAATAATACCATACATTTGACCGAAATGATTGATTTGTTGTGACTCATTAGTATTTATTAAAATCTATCAATAACATGAACATGTCTATTTTATTTTTGTAAGGCAACACACAGGAATATATGACGCATGTATCTATTTGTCGGTTGACGTTCTATATTTCATTTCAAAACTTACTACCGGATCAGTCTAAAGAACATCATATGATAAAGATGACAAAATCAGTAAATTATTTACGTCGGTTATCATACTGATTAAATAAGTAATAGTTATACACCGAGGGATAGGTGTGTCTGGATTAGAAACCCCGACGGCCGGAGGTCGGATGGGTTTCTTATCCAGACACGCCGTATCCCGAGGTGTATAACTAACTTACACCCAATGCTAAACCCTATATTTGTTAACATTGATTATTAAATGAAAAAGAACGGATAGCATATTTATTGACAAAATCAAACCATGATTTATAAGAAAAACATTTTTTTTCACATGAAACCCCACTAGTAACCTTACTTTGGCTATGTTCGTTCAAACTTTGACAAGTGAGTAGATTTTACAAATGTCAAAGTTGCTGTTTTGCATATTCCCGTTAAATCCTGGTGCTAATATGGATAAGCAGTTCAAGATTGACCGTTTCGTGCATTCTCATTACAAAAAAAAAAAAAAAAATACATCATGCTCCTTGAATGCAGTTTTCAATATGGACGGGTATAATATAATAACTTTATTGCAAAACATGAAACCCTGGCGGGTTAAAATGCAAACATAGTACATTGTATACACAAGTGACAAGAAACATAATACATGATAAATGTTTTAAACAAGTCAAGTTGATATTAATAATATATATATATATATATATATATATATATATAATAATTGACCAATGTGGACATTATTTTCGCAATTCCATAGATTGCTTTATATAGTCTACAACACTAGACAAAATATCTTTATTGGGATCTAGAATAGTTTTAAGTTTAGACTTTGAGTCAAGCTGGTTAAAAATAGGATAATGGGTTTTAATTGCATTTATAAGGGAATGTCTTACATTACTGTTAATTTGGCAATGAAGGAAAAAGTGTTCCTCATCATCTAAAATTTTACAAACTTTGCACAGTCTGTGTTCTCTTTGAATTTTTTTATAACGTCCTAATTCAATTTCCAAATTATGATCACTTACACGTAATTTTGTTAAAAGTTGACGACTATTAAAATTGTTTAGATTGTGCAAGTAGTCCTCCAATTTAATTTCATTTTTAAGTTTACTATAAAGATAAAGTTTTGAACTGTTATCAATATTTGAAAGTTTTTCAAGAGTGATGTTATTATACTTTTCCTTCACAATATGTTTAAAAGTTTTTTTGAGTGAATTTTTTATAAGTTTAAAAGGTTTATCAAAATCAACATATTCTTCTTCATCAATATTAAATTCTTTAAAAATATGCTTGGCAAAAGTATACCAAGTATATATTCCATCTTCAGACATAGACTTATTTACTGCAAAAGCTTCTTTAACAAGAGGGTTTATTTCATGGCAGTTTATTCTACAAAAATATAACAAAACTTGAGTTTTAATAAAGGAGTCAAGCGGAAATCGTCCTAACTCAGACTTTGCAGCTATATTACATGAAGTTTTTTAATTCCAAGAACAGTTTTACAAAATTTATGATGCACTTTCTCAAAGCTGAATCTATCTGTCAATGATAAAATATCACAGTTAGTTCCATGCAAAGTGGCTCTATTTATGGCTCTAAAAATTGAGACATAATCTTCCATAAACCAGATCTCGCTATTATATAAAATAATGGGTTTAATTAGTGAATCAAATAATTTACATGATAAATCAACAGGGACATGATGAAAATTAGACATATATTTTTTTAATGAAAATAACGCTTTAAGCGTTTTCTTGGATAGTTCATGTGTAGATTTCTTAAATTTTCCTTTATTATCAATACTGTTCCCAAGAAAATTATACTCTTTAACTTCAGTTAACTGATTTTGTTTATAAAAAAATTTTGACTCAAAAGAATTTCTAGAATGAAAAATCATAATTTTTGTTTTATTTGTATTTACAGTCAGTTGCCATTTGTAGCAATATTTTTCCAGTTTATTCAAAGCAGATTGTAAACCGTTTTGTGATTCTGATAATATTAAAAGATCATCAGTAAAACTAAGACTACTTATTGATGCTTTATCTAAGGACACAGGATCACATGTTCCATCAAAAATTGAATGGAGATCATTAATAAAACAATTAAACAATGTGGGGCTCAAACTGTCCCCTTGTTTGACCCCTTTATTTATTTCAAAAACTTCAGATTGTTTATTATCTATTTTAACTGAAGATTCACAACACTTATATATATCTTTAATATGTATGTTGAGCGTGTCCGGTATAAGACGGACGACATTTTGAGTCAAGCGTTGGATTTGGTAGAAGAGGCTTCAAAATAGAGACATATGACTGGGATCAAAAATTTTACCTTCAAGCAAAGGAGTATTTAGGGAGCAACCATTTTAACTTCAAAAGGGGACGGGGAGGGGGGTTATGGTTTTTTGAAGAATAAATTCTCGCAAATTGCGAACAATTTTATTTAGTTTTTCAACGCTATCAATCAAATTATTTTTCCCTTAAAGGATTTTTTTATTCAAAATAGATGCTTAATATTTTTTTTCGCTATTGGAATTTCCTAAAATATGTTTTTTTAATATCTTGAAACAACTTGTAGTGAACACTATTAGTAATTTCTTATGTTCATGCTATTTAAAAAATAATCAATTTCTATTGTAATGAATAACAATGGACTTTATTTTCGGGATGTAGAAGCAGGGGTTTCTAGAAACCCCGCTCGTCACACCCTGTGGTCAAAATCCATTGTTATTCGTAACAATAGATCTATTCAATTTACACTTGTTTCAGAAATAGAAACTATGAAGTATAACAATAGAAGTGGGTGTAACTTTTAATCAGTATGGTAAAATATAGCCACAATCCTAAACTAAAACAGAAAACGTTATTCTTAGGGTATGAAATAAACATGCAAATGAATATTTTTATATGCTAATTCTGTTTCGTTTCATTATTTTCATCATTGTTGATATACTTTATCAGAACGTTTTCATGTAAACTAAATATAATCAGTAGAGTCCTTCTCTGTATAACGTGCAGTGCAAAGTATTGAGAGTTCCATTACTCCATACCAGGAGATGAAGTATGATCGTCAATGAAACAACTATCCTACAGACACCAAATGAGGTAGATGGTAGCAACTTTAGGCCACCATGCGGCCTTCAACAATGCAATGACAAAATTTAAAACAATTCAAACGAGAAAACCAAAAGGACTAATTTATGCAGTAAGCAAAAAACGAAAAACAAATATGATATACAACAACAATGACAACTGAATGCATGGTTAGGATTTGAAGGCTAGTAGAAATGTAAATACTTTTATAGGATTAACCATATTTTATGTAGAGGTTATTGATGTGCAAATTAAGTCAATATACTCATTAACTGAATATAAGTCCGAAAGACTTTTTTTCTAAAGTCTGCGAGTCAGAGGCCCAGTTAACATATCAATAATATCTAGTTATCTAAAAACTGGTTTATCCTAATATTTCTCAACCCTGACATTTTTTTTTCTTTTAATTTTCACTTTCTTGGAATTCCATAATATCATTCATGTGTATCTAGCGTGAATATATCACAGTGAAATCGGCAAAGTATTAAGATAGATTAGGAAAAAAAGCCTTGACAACGATGGCCAGGTCTTTTGAAGTTTAAACCAAAGAACAAATTTTAATGGGCAATCACATTCAAATATTTATAGATATGCAAATCAAATAAAAAATTCACTTAAATGTTTTCAAATAATGGAAATGTCAATTTGCACTATACAAAGATATATTAATAATAATAAATTATTGGCAAGACTATGTAACAAAAAATAACGTCCGCTTTTGCTAAATGGCTCTGACACAGACAATATCCGCACATTGTAGGAAAATATACAATTTATTTGTACGAGTTTTTCTCCTTTCGTAGCGAGTAAAAATACATTTTATATTTTCCTGCGATGTACGAATATTACTGTTATCCTGCAGTTTAATATGTACCCTTAAAAGTATAGTTCAAACAGCTGAATTTGATTTAGAATGAAATCAACACGACTATTAACATCTACTAAACGTGTATAGCTTGTTGTTATCTGTCAAACTGTATTTGTATAGTAGAAAGATTGCAGGATAAAGTTCTTTATTATCTTCCTGTTGACATAATGCAAAATAAATGCAAGAAGTTATTCTTGAATTTATATTCTATTGAAAGGGGGACAATACCAAAAGAAATATTGTTCGGATGATTATAGTTAAAAAGGTTTCAATTTTTCTCACATGTTTTTTTTTAGTACGTCACTTTATTTCTTTGATTAATATACAGCTCAATTTTGTGAACCTCTTCCCATATACAATTGTACTATTACGATATTTTGATTTGTTTAGGCTGTATGTCTGTAATATTTTGATTTGTATAGGCTGTATGTCTGATGAGGACCTGACTTTCTAAAAGGTAAATCGTTTTTGCAAAGACACGTTCTTCAAATATGTCAAAATTGATTCAAGATAAGATCAAAAATAAAAATTATGTTATTAACATTTCCTGTCAACCCATTGGATTTAATACTAATATTCAAAGATATGATATGTGTATATTCATAGAAAAGAGAATGGAATCGGGGATTAAGTAAAAGAGTTGGAACTGACGGTAATTATTTGTAAAACTTGTGTCGGTTAAAAAAAAAATGTTTAATTTCCCTGTGAAACCAGGAGATCATTTTCGATTGTTTTTTTTATCCTACACAATGTAATTTTTTTTTTTATTAATACCCCGTCACACAGCAGCCGAAAGGAATCTGTGACGTACCCATCAATATACAGAAGTGTGAAATACACAGAATACGCATCTATCATATTGCCGTTAAATAAAAGCTGGTTTGGATTTTTTGTTTATATGGGTTATAAAGAATGTTACGTTTAAGTTACATGATCATACGCCAATAAAATTTTCGAGAAAAACATACATGTACATAGATGAATGATTACAGATTGGTAAACTATATCATATTATTACAACATGTACAATGGATACATATTACATTATTCAACGTCCTCCTTTATGCTCGTTATTTAATATTCTATGGTCATGCATCGGTTTATCTTTACTTACATAATCAATACAAGATATGTCTATTCTGTCAATATAATCATGCCTGTAGAGGTCTCCTCCCGTATTAGCTCCACAGTGTAAATTTGTCAAATTCCACAAATCAAAAACTTTCATACTACTCTGCTTTTTAACTCTTAATATTTCTAAAGTTAACGCTGTAATGTAAAGAAAGAAAATAAAACGAATACATTAAAGTCTTAGAGAAGTATAAAAGCGAATCCAGTGATTTATGGCAATACATGTTAAATATTATATTTTCTGCACCAGATGCACATTTCGACAATTAAGTGTCACTTCAATGATGATTGAGGCCAAACTATTTGAAAATTCAATCTTATAAATACGTTGAAGAACTGATAAAACTAAAAAGGATCGAACGTGAAGCAAAATCCGGACAAGGAATCAGAGCTATGCATGAGGGAGAAACATTTCTTATTTCAACATTATTTCATGTATTTCATAACAGCAAATTTTAATAAAAAAATATCTGAATTTTCCAACCGGTAAGGAAGTGCTGGCTACTGGGCTGGTGATACACTCAGTCCCATAGTCGGGGTATGGGCCCAGAGGTAAAAAACAGATTTACGGTTATTATTTTCCTGCACTAGATGTGCATTTCAAAAATTAGTATCTCTTCAATGAAGCTCGAGGCCACACTACTAGTATTTGAAAATCCAATTATAATACAAGCGTTTAAGTGAAGTCAATCCCATGGATGAGGGAGATACATTCTTTATTCTAAAATAATAATCTGTATTTTGTAACAATAGTAGTGATAACATTTAGGGTATCAAACTTTCTGCAACAGACAACTAATGTCTCTTTCGTGATGCCCGAGGCCAAAATATTTGAAAATCGTATCCTTATACAAACGTTGAAGAGCTGATAAAACCAAAATGGACTGAATGTGAAGCCAAACTAGGACAAACTAAAAACCAATTGTTCAGAGAACAATTGAAGGTATTTCCACATCAATTTTATAAATTATTGATTAGAAGCTACTTCCGGTTTACTCGAAGCTACTTTTGGCATATATATAGTTTCTAGGTACTTTTCAATGAAATAAGTGCAAAAGGTTACTTTCGGTTTACTCCAGGTCACTTCCGGTTGACATTTTTCAAGGTCATACGTTACCAAACGTTTTGCAAAATACCCTATGGCTTTCTAATGTACCAAGTTGAAGTAATAATAAATTAACCTTAAATTAAAACATTTCAGGGGCAATAACTCCAATAAGACGTCATTGGATTGTTTCAGACTAAATGTATTATATATTCATCACAATAAACCAAACATTTTGCACTAATTCTTTTATATATATCTTCAATAGTGTCGGAGAAGATCATAAAAGAAGAAAAAAACAAAATTAAGAACATGAACTTGACCTCGAATTCATTTTTGTGAACCAAGGACCTCAAATCAAAATACCTTAGGTCTCTATCACTTTTCATTCATGTGATACATTATTATTTCACTTGTGTCAAATACAGAATGGGAAATAACTCTCATATGGAGTCTTTGTATCGCTTCAGTCAAAATTGGACAAAACATTCTGAGGATATAACGAGCAATTTGGTAAAATAAATTTGTAAATTTCTTTTAAGGTTACGGAGGAGATGCAACCACAAGGAAAACAGCGTTTGGGGAGATAGTTATTCTTGAGGGAAATACACAATAGTAGTTTAACGATGTTCAAATCTGATAAATAGATTCACAAGACAAATTGCGGTAACAAACAAAGACTGAGGGAATCGATTGGACTCCAAAAGGATCGAGACTGTGTGTGCAAAAAGGGTAATTATCTTCTGCTATGCATGTTTCACCCGCTATGCGAATCAATACACAAAATCGGAAATAGTAAACAATCGGTAAAATTGATTATTCGACGACTATTCTGGTATCCCAAGCCAGAAAATGTGTAAAACGCGGGCCAGATGAATCAAAACTGAATGGATCAAAGCCATTCGGTCATGCATTCAGAAGGGCATTCACGATATACAACGATCACATGGGCTTTTAATCTCTCAATGAAGCCAGATGTTGAATCTGCTTTTTCCTCTCTTCACTACAAATATGTTGTTGTTCAAGCAGACAAAGCCTCTAAAAATATTGCTTGTATATTCAAACGTCATTATTAGGAATGTCTGACTTAAAAACTCGATATTGACAGCAGAACTGGAAATCACACATACACCCCTACATTTTCACGAAAGAGATGATTCTAGAAAATACAAATATGTCTTTCTTTTTTTGTATTATTAGTGATATCAAAAGGACGACCAAAATCTCTTGTCTTAATACTTCATACATAAAAAATTCTTTTAAGATATAGCCAGGTCGTAGCGAAGTTCAACTGAATATCGTTTTAAAGTTCTTACAACATTTTTGTCTACAGTAAAATATTGTAATGAGGTAGATTCTACAAGATGTAGATTCTTTAAAATCTATTGCCCAACCTGTAATCGCATTCTTTTTTAATCTTACACTAATATTCTACGTGCGCAATTGAAAGATCGAATACATCGTCCCATTAAATAGATTTTTTTTTCTACAAAATGTGGAAATCGTAGAAAACAAATTTCTTGTTTTTGGTCATGAAAAATCTTACGTTGTGAAGAACCACACAGATTAAAAAAAAATACATCGAAGATGATATAATCAAAATGCTGTGTTTTTTTTATTGACAACAAACTTCTTTAGTTGGTGAACTGAAATTTCAACAGACAGTCGGTATTCAAAATAGGTACTAAATCTGCATCCTCGCTGACCAACTTTTGTATTTACTCATATAAATCAGGATTCATACAAAAACTTCTATGAGACACACAGAAAAGAATGTCTTAAAGATTTTTTTAATTTCGCTTTCGTTTGGTTAATCAAATAAACATCGGTTTACAATAAAATTTGTTGTTCATTCCGAGAGTTTTATTTCAATATCGTCTTATTCTTTAGAAATTGTCAATGCTTTGATGGTAACCTGGCAATATTTCTAACATTAAAGCAACTTTTCACGCGAAATTACGAACAACTAATCTGTGTAAAAAGCTCTTTCTTGAAGTTAAAGCGATTCCCTTAGTTTCTATTGGTTACCATGATTTGTCTCTTCCTTACCGATTAACGAGATTTGACATCGGTAAACAACTGTCGCCTTAATTTGACGTTGTCTATGCACAGAAAATCCCTGTACCTTAAACCAAGAACATGGACAGAACAGCCGTTTTGCTTTTGTTTTTTTTTTATTTTTGGTCCGTGTTGAAGGCCTCACTGTGACTTAGAGATGAAGAACAGCAATAAAAGCGCCGTTCCTTTACTTTTTTTGTGTTTTTTTGCTGTGCATGTGGATGAATACCCCATATCCTTTGTTTTTCTATTGTATACAGTTTTTAAAAAATATTTAATATTTTTCGCACACTGTATCTTTGATTAACAGCATAAAGCGAACGTCCATCTCTATTTGGCAAGTTTTCAGCATTTTTGATGTTTTTCTTTCTCACAAAATATAACAGTAACTTCAAAGTATTTGCACTTTACTGTTCGTGGGAACAACTTACATTGTCATATAATGCTATCACGACTGCATTTAATGTTGTGACTACTGCATATAATGTTTTAACCACTGCATATAATGTTCCGACAACTGCATATACTGTTGTCACGACTGCATATAATGCTGTGACCACTGCATATAATGCTGTGATCACTTCATATAATGCTGTGATCACTGCATATAATGATGATCATCAACATAAGGCAGTCATGGCGTTCCATAGGTTCCAGCAGTTGTCTATGGTAATGAACCTTTAATATATATATATACATAAAATATAACATGCTAATAGAAAAATATATATATACATAAAATATATATTTTTCTATTATCATGTTTTCTATCAATAATGGTTGTGGACTGTCATATTTATGTCTTTTATGTGATGATTTGTTTCAAAATCAACATTAAACAGAAATTCTACTTTATATCTTTCAAAATCCAAGAGTAAAGGTCTCTCCATAGTGTTTATATGCACGGATAAAACCAGAATATATGCTCATTGTTGAACGCCGTACGCTGACCTATTATTGTTAACTTCTATGTCATTTGGTCTCTGATGGAGAGTTGTCTCCTTGTTCTTTGCAAAGATATTTTTTCTGCTCTGAATACTACTTTGAAGTTTTAAGTTTATTAAAAAATACAAGGTAGAGTTTAGAAAGACAAAACTGAATAGACACGCCTATAACATGTATACTTATACTGGATGTAGGATCTTTCAATTTGAGACATAATAATGTTTTTCTTTGTATTAAAGGTTTAATAATAGATGCTAGTCTGAACACTCGACTGAAATAATCATTGTAATAAACTTTCTATTCCATGTGTTCTCATTTTACGCAATTTACTCAATTTATATGGTGTCATTTAATGCACGTAACTGTTAAGAAAAATATCTTAACTTTTTGCATTCATTTAAAGTGAAAATAATACTCAATTCCAAAATAGATATAATGAATAAGAGAACTTTGGATCAAGTTTAGGTTTGAAAGTTACAATCTATGCAATATAACAAATTATGCGAAACCTAAGTATTCCGACACCCTGTACGATCCGACACAATTCTTTGTCCCCTTAGAGAGTCGGATTAGACAGGTTGCACTGTATATTCATTGATGATTTATTACTTTTTATCTATATTTTTCAGACCATACTGGTTGAGAACCAGTTACCTTCACCTGCCATTTCAATCAATTACACAATAGCGTTACTAAAAACGACAAACTGCTGATAACTTCAGACAAATAGTTTTACTTCCTTTGTAAAAACTCCTTTTTGTTTGATCCGATCAAGATAGGGACATGGCAAATGTTCTGTAAAATTAATTTAACGCGTCCTACAGGAACAAGAAACATGTCATGACGTCCTCAATTTTAGGAACACTTACCGTTTTAAGACAGTTGAAAGCATTTTCAATTTCTTTCAAATTTATTGTATAAAGATTTATGAGTCTATACGTCTTTTCAATATAACGTAAGAGGTTGATTTCAAGTGACAGAACAGAAAGAAGACCTTCCAAACTAATTGTCAGAAAGGCCATGTAATTGGATCATGTGACGCAACTTCTTCTAACCTTGCTTCACAAAAGTACAAATACATCATCAATGT